GTCGGTCAGCATTAACTGCTTTTTCTTTCCACATATAAATCAGGTTTGCGACCCAAATTTCAAAATGCTGGTCACCAAAGCCCAATTGACCAATGAACAGGCAAAGATCTTAATATAGAGTGGCAACAACTAAGAAGGTGTAAAAATTCTAAGACCAAAGTTGGAGATGGACAAGACCGATTTTCAGAATGAAACTTGTGCTACAAAAATCAGTAGAATTAATTTTAAAACATAGTAATGTTATAGAATGGTAAAGTTTATTGTACGGATATTATAATACAACTGTTTAACGGAAGAAATTCTTAAAGTCTTAATTTCTTTATAAATTTTAGACATAATCAAATATTTTGAGTTACTTTAAGGTGTTTCCGAAATACTTAAAACCTGTTATACTTTCTCTTTGGTTACTACTACTTTATAATGTATCTATGACACACAGATGTGAGGCTAGCTTCAATGCCTATATTTACTTATGATTGTGGTAACTTTAAGGATATATCTCTGCACAGTTACCTGATCTCCACTGACAAAAAGGAAAAAAAAAACAGAGAGGTTTGTGGATTTAAATGTAAAATAAAATATGAAGTGACTCGTTGCAGGTGAAATAAAATAGACAAGTTACGCTGTTGAAGTTAGAATAAGAAATAAATGAAACGCTATATTTTTTGCAGTAATATGAAAGTTTACAAACAGATGAATGTATGTGATCAGTTAAATGGTAGGACTAATGCAGATGAAACGAATGGTCAGTAGCTTCAAATGCGCTGAGACAAATATAATATGTCCACCAGTGAATCTTGGCTGTATCAGATCTGGACCAACTGCCTTCCACGAAATTCGAAGTGAATCTGTCCCAAGTTCGCTAACACTCACAATACACATTGTTTCTACAGCTGACTAATCAGCGAAAGGGGTGACAAATTATGGAAATGGGTTGAAGGTTATTAAGGTTACTGAATACATTTCCAAAAACATTTCTTTGGTTTAGCTACACGGAAAATATACCCTCAATATATCGGAACCATGGAATTTCTGAAAGGTTTATACTGTGGAAAAAAGTTATTTTATTTCAAACTAATCGTCCCCTTGTGGGATAGCGGTAAATTCACGGACTTACAACACTAACATCCGAAGCTCGATTCCCCATGGTAGACAGAGCACGGATAGCTTATTGTATAGCTTGGTGCTAAAACGAACAAACAAAATATTCTCTGAAGATGTTGCACGGTATTGAAGAAAGTGAATACCCCAAAGCCATTTCGTACTTTTATCTAAAGCATTGACCAAGACAGGTTAACGTATACACTGTTGTTTATCCAGATTGCGGTAAGAGAGATATGAGTGTCAATACATTTTCATTTGTTTGTTTTTAAGCAAAAAGCTACACAATAGAGTATCCGTGTTGTGCCAACCACGGACATCGAAACCCTATTTTTAGCTTTCAGGCTTACTGCTAAGCCGCTGAGGGGCGTGTCAATAGGAGTAGACAAGAATATGTTCAATTCGGTCAATTTTCTTTTAAGAAATTATATGATCTCATCAATTGGAAAATTAATAAATATAGCAGCAACATCAAACTTAGCATTGTTTCTTTACGAAGGTCACTGTTTTGGGTTGCTTTGCTTTGCTTTGAATTTTGCGCAAAACTATACGAGGACTACCTGCGCTAGCCATCCCATATTTAGCAGTGATAGACCAGAAGGAAGGCAGCTAGTCAACACTAAACACCGCCAACTCTTGGGCTACTCTTTTACCAACGAAGAGTTGGATTAACTATCACACCATAACGCCCACACAGCTGAAAGAACGAACATGTTCGGTGACGGAGATTCAAAACCGCGATTCGAATGTTGCGAGTTCAACACCCTAACCACCAGGCCCCTTTGTTTCGCTGTGTAATGGTGAGAATTTTCCAAGAACTGGTTTTTCAATATCTGTTACACACAATATTTTGTTCTTTTATCACTTTCATTCAGATTTTTTTTTATAGATAGCTTGATAAGCAGTTTATATTGTAACTTAAAGTTATGTTTTAGATTATTTTTGTTTAAATTTGATCTTTATTTTTTCTTTTAGCTTATGGGTGTGTGTGCTGAACTGGTGAGAGAGAATCAATAAAGGTTTCTTTTCACTTTATTGTCAGCTCAACACACCCATTGAAAACACTTGACATTGTTGTGTACTGTATAATGTGTTTGTCTCTGTTTGTCTCCCGGTACCTGAGCGGTAAATTTACGGACTTACAACGCTAAAATCCAGGGTTCAATTCCTTGCGGTGGACGCAGCAAATATTCCAATGCGGCTTTGCACTAAAATAAACTACTCTCTCCGTTTGTTTTTTGTTAATATAGATGTTGTGTGATAATTTTGTGGTTTGACGCTTCCTTGTTTTGTTGAACTTAGTCGGAGTTTATAAAGCGATGAACCCTTGCTTTGCAATGTAATATTCGTCGGTCTCGCTGGTGAATCCTGCATATATCTCTGCGGGAAAACCATGTACCGGAAAATACCTCAATATTCCGAAATTATATATTAGAAAAATGTAACATTTTGGTAGATAAGAAATATATACCGTGGAGGAGTAAAATATATAATATTTGCATAATGTTAACAAAATGTATTAAATCGAATGACACAACTTTGAATGTAATGCATTTGTGAATTATTCTTTTAAAAGTATTTTCAAATTAATAACAAATAAGAAGTATTTGAGGAAATTAGAAAAATAATTATTTAGCTTATTAAGATTGAACTCATAGTCCCTCCACGTTTTCATTGTAAATATCTCTATTTTGACTTTTAACATAACATAATGTTTAGGGACAACAAGAGACCTATTGCTCAACCTTGGCTGTTCAATCCTCTAAACTAAACAAAAAGTATTAAATAAACTTTAAAAAATCTTAAACTCAACCCTTATCATTCATTTAGATATCAATCTTCTCTTAAACTCACTTAAATTTACTGCCTCCACAACAGAAGGCAACCCATTCCAGAGGCCAACCACCATGTTAGAAAAATATAAGTATCTTAGCTGAAGATGACTCTTACCCTGCCAAGATTTATATTTGTGTTCTCTAGTCCTACAATCCTCGCGTTAAGCATGAAAAAATATTACGAATAAACACTATCAATTCTCTTTACAATCTTAAACACCTCAATAAGATCTCCTCTAACTCTTCTTTTTTCAAGAGAAAACAATTTCAGAGATCTTAACCTCTCCTGATATGACAATCCCTCCATTCCAGGCATCATTCTAGTAGCCCTTCTCTGAACCCTTTCCAGCAATCCAATGTCCTTCCTAATGTAAGGAGCCTAATCAATGATCTATACAATAAAATTATAGCCTCTTTAGACTTGCATTCAATATTTCTGTAGATACAACCTAAAACCCAATTTTCCCTACCACTAGCAACAGCACAGTACTTGGATTGCTTAAAAGACTGATCAACCATTACACCAAGATCCCTTTCTTTCATGATACTGTTAAAGTTTTTCCCATCCAAATTATACTTATAATTCAAATTATGATAACCCATATGCTTTTGTTTGTTTGGAGTTAAGCACAAAGCAATAAAATGGGATATTTATGCTCTGCCCACTATGAGTATCGAAACCCGGATTCTAGCATTGTAAGTCTGCAGACATACCGCTGTGTCACTGGGGGAAACCCATATGCATTATTTTGCATTTATTATAATTAAAACTTATCTGCCATTTATTTGCCCAAATCTCTAAATGATCTGCAACATCCTTTTCACAGCTAGTAACACTCAAGACCTTAATGTCACCAGAAAATATAAGTAATTTATTCACCATTCTTCATGTATGTCATTGATGTAAATCAAAAAGAGCAGAGGTTTTAAAACTGAACCCTGAGGTACCCACTTGTGACATTAATCCAGTTTGACTGAACTTCATTTATAACAACGCTCTGCATGCTTTGTTCCATCTAGCCACTTTTTTATCCAATTAGCTAACTTATCCTCCACACCTAAATATATCTTTTTTTTACAAGCCTTTTATGTGGCACCTTGTCAAAGGATTTCTGAAAATCTAGATATACTAAATCTACGCCATTACCCTCATCTACATAAGCAGTAACCTTTTCAAAGAATCTCGAAACATTTGTAAGGAAAGATTTTCCCTTTGTGAAACCATGTTGACTATTCAATAAAATTCTAAACTTTGTTAAAGGACTTTGCAAAAAATCTTTTATCAGACTTTCCAGACCTTTCACCACCACTGATGTACATGTGTGTTTTTCATAGCATAACCACTTCGGTATATCTACTGTGTCCATCGAGGGGAATCGAACCTCTGATTGTAGCATTGTAAATCAATAGACTTACCGCTGTCCCACCGGGGTACCTGTAACTGATGTAAGACTAATAGGGCTATAATTACTGGGACAATATTTATTACCTCCTTTGAAAAGAGGAGTGACACTATCTATCTTTCAATCATTTGGCACCTGCCCACTATTCAAGGACTTACAAAAAATAGTAGTAGTAGTGACTAACGTATCCAATCCTTAACCTCTTTCAAAATCCTTGGGGAAATATTATTTGGTCCACGAGCCTTATCGTAATTTAAACATCCCAATTTTTTCTTAACAAGCTCAGAATTAATGCAATAATCTTGTTCGACCTAGTTTCAGTCTATAAACTGTTCAATATGAGGAATAATGTTAATCTGTTTATCTATATTTTTTACTCACATAATTTTTAAAATGGCCATTAGTGTCGTGTAACAAAACAAAACAAATATGAATAGTACCTTTGCAATAGATTTATGCTAGTGTGGATCTTGTTGTATAAGATGCGATTCCTCTTCAATTGATATTCTAACATCACGATTCTTAATTATTGTTTTAACAAGTATAGTTATTTAGAGAATATTTCATTAAAGTTTTTTATTGTATTAATTTAAAAACAAAATTGTTGGATTTTGCTAATTACCGAAAGGGGGCGTCGTATATGCATATACTTTTTCAGCAACAAGGATCATTGACACAATTTTACCCACTCTAATGTCAAAGTATTTCAAGTTCAAGTTGAACTAGTAGTAGGAAATGTGAGAATGAAAGGTAAGAATGTTCAATTAGAAGTTTAATACTTATATTTGTTTAAGCATCTGGAAACCATTTTTATTGAATGAAAGCTTACCAATTACAAATTTAAGATTAAGTATTGTAGTTTTGCTCCCAACGGTTAAAATTAAGAACATAAAATGAAATTATGATATCAGTACATGTATACTGTAATTTGTATATATATATATATATATATATAATATATATATTCTTTTTACTATTAGTAATATTACTAATGCCAGTTGGCTTAAAATTTATAATTGGCAATAAAAATAATTTAACTGCAGATGTTTTTTCCTCCAAAATTTCTATTGATTTGTAGACTGGTATTTAAGATTTTCTTTTGTTTCCCACTAGTTATTGCCCATTTGTGGGGGTGTGCCATCAAATATCATCCCCCCGTCCATATCTCATCCATGGGATGGGATTTCGTAGCTCTGCCAAATACCATCCCACATCTAGATTTCATCCCATCTTATCTTTCAGTGACAGTTCACTATGTGTCCATTTTTGCTAATTTTTTATTTTCATTTTTGTGGTTTTTATCAATATATTTCGTAAGTACTATTTCATGTAATATAAACGGCTTATTTCGCTGTATTATTTATAAAATATGCTATTTCTAAGCCAACCTGAACAAATGATTTATCAGTTATACTAATAGTATTAGTAATAATACTTTACGTGATACTAACACCGAGCATGTAACAAGTAACATTTTCTATTTGTAAAATGTTATTTAACATTTGGTTATTTATTAACAATGAAATAAATTTATCAACTCTTTATCTAATGATCATATAATGATCAGAAAGAAATTCTTGTAGAAAATATCACACTAAATCTTGTACTTACAAAAGACTAATAACTGAAATATTAACTAATACTATTGCTAAGAGTAAGACTAAGAGAGTTAGTAATCTGAGTGATAGTGATAAAGATAGTTGTGTATAATAATGCTTGGAGATGGTTTGAGTGGGTAATGAAGAAAAACTTTAATATGTGCTATGGGGATGAGATTTGGTGGCACAGGGGACAAAATGTCAAAAGATATATCTGAACATGAAATACTATTTTTACATGCCTCTAATTTTGAATCTGCAATTGATGAACAAATCGAGGGAAATGTGCAAAAGCTACATATGCAGTTAACGTGATTAACAATATAGCTAGTGGTTTCTAATGCTTTGCCAGCTTTTGGCATATTAAACTAAAATTTTGTATTTAAAAGTTTCTTCATTCAGGTTAACCTTGCAATTTATGAAGTATAAATAGTGGGAAGATGTCAGTTCTATTTCGGGTGTTCATCAAATAGTCTTTGTAGAGAAAAATAAAATCAGATAAGCAATGGGTCACAAACAGAACATGGCTGAGGACTGTGCTTCTAAATGCAAGGAAAGTGTTACTGTGTGTTGATTTTCAAGTGACTTCTTACGTTAAGATATTAGACAATTAAGGTAATAATATATTAAGCATTTCTGAAGCTAATTTAATTACTGATTTTTCCAGAGATAATGGTCTTCTATTGTTTGTTTACCACTTTCCTCCCATTTTGCAAGATGAAAAATAAACCTAAAAAATCCCAGAAAATTTAAACAAATATAAAAACCTAAATCGAAGAACTCTTCCAATAACACATGGTAGAGTTAAGGAAGTTTTGTAGATGTATGAGGTGAGAATAATCCACAACAAATACACGGAGTACTTGAGCTGTATTTGACATGACAACATGTTACTGCGATGTATTAACAGTGTGTTTCTTCAGAATCGATGGTAGAGGAATGCATCAGGTACATTAGCAAATGAAAAGAGAACCACATGACAAAATCAATTATAGTACAAATTTGCATGTAAATGAATTACAGGATAAACACAGTAACAAAAATATTTAACAAAAATTGATTAAAATAGCTTGGAAAATAAAAGTAGCTAACAGAAGGTTGAATGCTATAGGTCCTACTGTTTCAAATGCTTAATTGAACAAATAACTGAACTCATAATTTCCTTAAATTTTATGTTAGAAGTTACAGTAACATACTTAGTAATTAATATAGAGTTTCAGAATGCAACTTGTTTGATATAGTGTTTCAACACTCTGAACAGAATAGAACTCTACTTTTTAATCAAAAATACAGAATTGTTATGCAATGTACAATGGAACACTTTTGTCAAATCACATTGCTCTTGTACCTACAGTCCAATCAAACTGATTGCTTTTGTGATGTTCAGGTTACTTTGTGTTCATCTGCAAACATTTTTACTTATAAAAAAAATTAAAATTTTGTATAATGATTATACTTGTTACCATTTCGGCGATAGATAAAGAGTAATAATTCAATATCATTTTTAAGTCAATTGGAGTTATTTTTGTGGCTTATCCAGCAAATTTACCTTGGTTCGGCTTTCACTTATTCCCCCATTACTGGGAACTTTTGTTTTGGTCTGGCAACTTTTTTATTAATTATGAAAATATGAAATATGTTTTCACAATAATTTTATGCTGTCTTTTTAGACAGAAGAAAGAGAAAGCATTTGGTGTGGTTTTGAAGGTGATCAGAGTTTATTGAATGACTTGTCTGGGCACTTTTATGTTGGTCCAGCAACATTTTTATTAACTATGAAAATATGAACTGTGCTTTCACAATAATTTTATGATTTTCATATAGGCAGATGTACGGAAAAAAATTTTGTGTGGTTTTTAAGGTAATTGGAGTTTAATAAATGGGCCTTCCAGTCAATTTTATGTTGTTCTGGCAACATTTCAGTGAATTATGAAAATATGAACTATGTTTCCACAATAATTTTATGGTTTCTATATGGACAGAAGTATGAGAAGGCATTTAGTGTAGTTTTTAAGGCAATTGAGTTGAGTAAACAGTTTGTCCAAGCACTTTTGTGTTGTTCCAACAACATTTTTATGAATTATGATTCCACAATAAATATACGTTGTCTATGCGGACAGAATTACGATAAAGTATTTAATGTGGTTGGAGTTTAAGGTGACTGGAGTTGATCAAATGGACTGTCTGGCAAATTTTTTGTTGTTCCAGCTATCATCCATTCCTCGAATACAGAGATTAGGAGTAGATGTAAAGTGCTCATAGAGTCATAGTTTGTAAGGTGTGATGGGTACAAAAAGTATTTTTTAATTTTATTTGGGAACTCTGGACTGGCATGCACTTTTAAAAATGTTAGTAGTTAAGATGTGTAATTTGTTTGTAAAGTTTGCATGTTGGAGAATTGAAGGCTATTCTAAACAGAGTAGAGGTGATCAATAAAGGGAAGTGTAAGGCTAAGTAAAAAAAATACAAGTTTAGCATTCCTGCATCTTTCTTTTTTGCAGCTATCCCCCTCCCCCACTTTTTGGCAATTTTTTTTCCTTTTTTGAATTATTGTTCTTCGATCATACAAAGAAAACATCTGAATAAACCTGGTTGATTCATTTTGCCATTTTTCTTTACTTGTCATAAATTCTGTAATGTTTTGATGAAGAAATTCAAATAAAACCTGTTTGACATGGACCCTTTGAAAACAAGCAACAATCATGGGCCTCCTCCTTCCTTTTTTCAAAACTGTATGATAAACATGTTGTTGTTCTTGACCTAAACTGTGATAATAGTTGGATTTCAAGAAGAACTTAATCTTTTTATATTCAAGGGATACAGTAGTTAATAATGACTTTCAGGAAGTTAGAAACAGTATTGTTAGGGCTATAAGTAGTAGATGTAATTGTATTTTGCAGATTTAAGTATTTTTCCCTGTGCAGATGAGAACTGTGGGAAATATGGAAAACAAAAGGAACAGAGAAGGATAGGAACAAAAATCTCAAAGATTATAAGTGATTCTTTAGTATGGCAAGTGGAAAGGATAGTATGTGGGATAAGTATGGAAAAAATAATTATGATATCCATGGGCAGGGGTGGAGGATCTAATTGATTGATCAGTGAAAAAGTGAAGGTTGCTAGCAGTGATGCAGTTTTTGTTGTGCACATAAGGACTAATGATGTAGGGAAAAGTAGATATGAGTAGCCAATTGATAAGTACAGGGGGTTGATAAAGGCAATTAAAAGGGCCATAACTTAATTGTGTCAGGGATACTGCAAAGAATTAATTGTGAGAATGAAATTATAAGTAGGTCACTATGGCTAAATTGCTAAATTAGGTTAGTATACAAGGACAAGATTGGCTGGTTGGACTTTTGGAATCAGTTCAATGGGGAAAAGGAGCTTTTTGGAAAGGATGATTTACATTTAAGGGCTAATATTTTTGTAAGGGCAGCTTTAAGTTAGGGCTAGACAGTGATGAAGGGCTGAAATAAACTAAATGCAGAAAAAATGTAAAGTGTAGTTGAAGAACAAAATGTAGAAGTAGCTTTAAGGGTAGACTAAATTGTTATTATTTTAGTGCTAGAAGTATAAAAAATAGATGACTAGAGCACTGATCAGAACAGAAGATTTTGATATAATAGGAATATCTGGAACTTGATTAAATGTAGACAGTTTGGGTGACAGAAATTTTTTTGAATTACTGCTTATTTAATAGGGATAGAGTTCTAAAGATTGGGGAAGGAGTAGCTTTTTATGTAAAGTGCGATTTATATCATATTGAAGTTGTGGATATAAAAAATAATAAATATAATAAAAGTTATAACAGTTATGGTCTGATATATTTTTCTTTTTCAAATATGTTTATTATACCAATACCCTAATGGTAGTGGTATAACTAGTTATCATAAAGTCCTGGGACAAAACTTTTGATACTTTCATTTGTTGAAACTTTTTGTTTCAGAATATTTTTCTTTCAATTCCAATATTCAAAATTTCAAATAATAAGTTTGAGGACCTCTGGTAGGCCTGGGGCAGCTGTCCCTTCTGTCATTACATCAATGTCTAATAGAGCTAACAAATTATGTCTAGTACTAGAAGTAGTACTAAAAGACAATCAGGGAATAGTGTATAATGGCTGTGGCTACCATATTTGGAGTTTTGAGTAAA